ATAAGTTAAGACATTGTAGTCTCTTCCTTCAGTTATGGCGTTCACCTCGGATTTCCACTCAGGAGTCATACAACGCAGAATTTTCCGGACAAGCTCATGATCGGTGTAATACTTTCCGAGCGTGTCAAGATTGTTGATGATTGTAGAGAATCTCTCAAAATAACTATCAATGCTTTCATTCTCCTTCATTGAGAATAATTTGTATTCATGCAATAAGATATCAACTTTAGCATCTTTAACTTGAGATGTACCTTCATAAGTGACTTCGAGTTTAGTCCACATCTCATTGGCAGATTTGCATCTTGATATCTTTCTATAATCATCGGGGTTGACTGCACAATAAAGATAGTTGATGGCTTCGGCATTTTGCATGACGTTCTTCTTGTCTTGATCATCATATTCGGATTCCAACTTGGGAACACGAATTCCATCAATAATATTTGCCGTAGTGTTTCCATGCTTGATTACCATCCATGAGTCGAAGTCATTTGATTGTATGAATATCCTCAATATTTCCTTCCAATATGCATAATTTGTACCATCAAAGAATGGAGGACGTGTAGTAGATTGTCCTTCGGAAACACCAGCTTGGAATGTTCTACCGGCCATGATCTAGATTTCCGGCGGTAAAGCTTTGGAAATGCAACCACGCTCTGATACCAATTGTTGAACAACTTACGCACCTCTAGAGGGGTGGTGAATAGAGGTGTTCTTCAAGAATTAAAACTTTTGGAAGAACTAAAAAATTCGCAGGAGTATATCAACCACAAGAACACAAAGATGAAGAGAAGAAGCAACACACGATGTATCCTGGTTCGGCCTAATGCCTACATCCAGTCCCCGAAGCAAACGTGCCCGAGATTCCACTAACTTTGTCAAACTTAACGGAGTTTGAAAATCCGATTACAACTCGAGAACTTGAATTCGCAAGCCTCTAACCTTTCCACCGAAGTCTTGATTTCACAAGACTTAGGATTTCTCTCCAAAACTTGAATTATAACAACTTCAAGTTTTTACAATTCACACACCGTTCCAAAAACAAAGTGCACAGCGGAAATACTCTTCAAATTAAGAGTGGATTGCTGTAGAATACAAGATCTTATAGAGTATGGCACACTAGTACTCTCCAAAACTCAAGCAAATATTCATTTCTTGAAGAATTGCTTGGAAGTAATGTTGAAGGATCAAAAGTATGAATTGAATTGCTTGGATTAATAAAAGAAATATGTTTGAATGGATATATATAATGTTCTTCAAGCAAAAGAGCCGTTGTAGGTGAGTTGTTGAAGATACGGATGGATAACTCCCTTTAAAACTGACAAAACTGCAGTTGAAACTGACGACTTATTCGAATAAAATCATATTTATCCGAATAGGACAGAGCGAAGAATGTAGTCTTATTCGAATAAACTAAGGTTTATTCGACTAAATCACTGTAGGATTGAAGAAATGAAAGTCAGGACTTATTCGAATAATATG